GTTCTCTCAGTTTCTGAAGAAGACGAAGATGAGTCTGACGACTCACGACGGAAATGGTGTTTCTGTAATGAGAAAAGTTATGGCGAGATGGTCGCATGTGACAACAAAGCGGTTCGATTTGTTTCTATGCTACAAGTAGTCTGCATTGATTTCCCTTTCTTCCAGTGCCCCTACCAGTGGTTCCATTATCCATGTGTCAATATCACATCAACTCCGAAGGGCCGATGGTACTGCCCTCATTGCACTGAGGAACGAAAACGCATTGAGGGTGTGGATCTCAGCACCGGCACAGTACCAGCAACCGCCGTTCTCTAGTTTTCTTCTTGGTGTCTTTGCAGACAAATGTAGAATTTGCTCGGCAAAAGAATTTCAACAGAAATTTTCTACCTTTCATTAAGAAATCGTCTTAGAGGCATCTTCTGTACTACCGCATATCAAGACATTTTTTGCTCGTTTATGTTATCCTCCCTCTTTCATGTTAATTTTATAAGTTGTTTTGTTCCTCACTGAACGAATGACGAGCATCTTGCATCGTCCCTTTTTTGCATTCATTTCCATTGTTTCATCATTGACATTTTCAGCCGTTTTATTTTCAAATTTTTTGCACTCTCTTTCTAGGTGTCTAATCAAATTTTCATCGTAATCAATCAACGCTGATCTTTGCCTTATATATCTCTCATTTGGCATCGCCTCGACTCCCTATTGAAGACACCATAACCCACAATTTCCAACTGCATGCTGACTAACGTCCACCATATCTAGCACTCGCACTGTAGAGTACAGAAAATTGATGTATTATTTACTGGCTCTCTTTAAATAGCTTCGCAACACTCGATTGATTCTCGATGTTGCCTTTGGTATCTTTGATTAATGGCCGGCCCCATTGTTTATGGTGAGTGTGTGATTCTACACGACATCTAACTATAGTCCAAATGCATTTTGATCCCAAGTATTCCCTCCTATAAAGTGATCTTATCATGCCCTGGCGGCATAACTCAGTTATAATTATTGACAAGTTTCTAGTTGTATTTATATGTCATAGTCTTTTTTATTGTACATATAATGAAGTCGTTTAACTAATTTTCTTATAATCTGAAATTTTTGATAAGCTGGCATTTTCTGCGATAATATGTATCCAGCAATCGCTGTATCAATCCCCACTGACCTTTGAAAGTTGGATCAATTGCGCTATCTGCCGCATTTCGCTAACTACATCTGTATCGCATAAGTGATGTTCTCATGTGCATACGATATGTTCAAACATTTCATTATTATTTTCTGTTTCTTACTTTTGATCACTATTTTAGAAAAGAGATCATAGGACAGTCACTTTACCGCTAAATTTTGTTGGACATGTATGCTCACCAATCTTAAATACCGTTAATGCCCAAATTGAGGTTTCTCGGGTTTGATCTTGTTCCAGTGAAGAACTTTATATATGTGCAAAATCTTGCGGAAACTGAACTTAAGTATCAATTTATCTGCTAGAATTTTGTACCTGCTCAATATAAGATTAATTTTTGGTGATAGAATCTTAATTTAGCGCCATTGATACTGTCAGCTTATTTTAATTGTCCTCAGCTGTTAGTAAGCTTTTGAGTTTCATTTGAAAAATGATCATTCAACGAAACTGTGTTGTAATCAGCAGTCAAGTTCATCTACATATTCTCAGTTTTTAAAACCAATCACAAATGTTTTTCTTATGAATTCTCCACGTGGCTATTGATCATATTCTTCAGTAAAGTATATTTCCTCAACACGATTTACTA